GAGAAAGCGGGGAGAGGCGGACTTGAACTTTGGAAGGGGTCAGAAATGCAAATGCCTTGCAGAGGAAGAGCCAGCCTAAAGAGTCGAGGCTTATGAAGTGTATGAGAATTTATATGTTAAAACACTGTTTCTGGATCTACTGAGAACTTTGTAGCGTAAGAAAATACGAGAAGTATTTCCAAAAGTACTCAGGCCAGAAATTAATATGTGACTGGTTGTGACTTTGTGAGAGAAACAGCGCAGAGGATAATAGTCTGTGAGTAGCTTTCTCTTTCTGAACCCTTTGTTTTATGTGTAAGTCTTATTTTAATTGAGGAGAAGTAGGAATACATTTCACAGGGATTTTAAAAAGGTAGAAATGGTATGTTGAATAGGAGTGAGATTGCTTCTTCCTGATAGATCAGGTAAATGCAGGAGCTTATTTAAAAAAAAAAAATCATACATTTGGAGTAGAGGTGCAGAAAACAGCTGGAAGGAGTGCTGTGTGGTTACCTGCCTTCCTTGCCTAAGGGCCGCATCAGTGCTCCTGCAGTTCTTGTTACTGACAGACGTGGGTCTATCCTGGTTTTAAAAAATCTCTAATAATGGACATTCTATAAACTTGGTTGGCAAAGTGAGTAACTGTCTTACTGTCAGAAAACTTTTCTTATCATCAAACCTCATTATTTGGAGCTCCAAAAAAACGTTGGTCTTACTATTCCTGTTATCTCTGACACAAAGATCAGACTATTCTCTTTCTGCTGGCAGCTGCCCTGTACATGTATGAACTCTGTACTCTCCCAGATTTCCTTAGATTAACCAGTTACAGACCTCCAGTCAACCTTTGTAAGTCCCATTTGTTAGACCTCGTTGTTCTTATTGCTCAGTTCTGAACACCGTGGTTTGTTCATAACTCTTAGAACATGGTGCCCAGCACTGGACGCAGCCGTTTGGCTTAGGTGTGTCAGTGCCAAGCAGGGGGAAGGATTACCTCATACCTGCCAAGAAATGCTCTCGCGTACACATCTCAGCATGAAGTTTGGGTTCTCTGCCTCCCACTGCAGCCATATGATATTCTTTATCATGTTTCATCTTAATCCACTGTACTATTCAGATTCCTTTCTATATTTGTACTTTTTAGTTTTGACCTGCATGCTCTCCTTTTAGATTTGTTAAGATCTTTTCAAAGCCCTCCAAGAGGCTTGCTGGCCTTTCCAATTTGATGTCTTATTTAGATTTCAAAAGGTTATCAATCTATACAACAGATGAAAGATTAAAAGCAGGTGAATTATGTTGGGCTTTGATCAGATCCTGTTGCAAGCCTTTCAGTTGCATCCTTGCAGTCTGACATCTATAACCATTCTTCAGATGGAGCACCCCAAACTATGAATCTCTCTTTCAGTTATGTCAGTCAAACAATATTTCTGTAGCTATTTGTACAAATGTTCTGGGACAGAGTCAGAAATATTGCTAAAGCTGCGAGATGTGACATCTTAGCCACGAGGCCTGTTTCCTTGGCATGAAAAAAGTTAGGAGGTTTTGACATGAGCTTCTTTATGCCCCTTGGGGAAGTGGGAAGTGACTCACTAGAAAACAGTCAGCAAACTAGTGATGGAGCTGGAACTAAGATCCAGATTCTCTGAGTTCCTGTCTAATGTTTTCCTCTAAGAAGGATCATCTTTTATAAACAGTGTACCTTTCAGTTATAAATGCTGAACTATTTTATATCGTGTTTAATACAAACTTGCATCTGATCTTCAAATTTTAACACTGAAGATTTTAAACCAGCATTCCAGAGACAGCCTTCTTTTCTGTTCTGTTGGTTTTGAACTAAATAACATGTTCACTTTTGAAATACAGCGAGTCCAAAACTGACTATGATCTTGTTTTACAGCTGGAATTATATCTCTTCTGGATGAAGAAGAGCCACAGCTCAAGGTGAGCTCTTACATCTGGGAGCAAATAACAGCAAATGCATTATGTTGAGAGCTTAAAATCAGAAATGAGTGGAGCTCAATAATTAATACTTGGACAGCAACAGGTGGGCCCCAAATTGTATCTACGCTGAAAGGAAGGGCTTAAATAACATGACAACAGGTGGCAAACTTCCTTGTTTTGAACATGGATCAAACTGTAGCTTCACATACTGAGATTTCTATTCACCAAAGTTTCCAGCTCTCTGATGATAAAGGGGCTTTGTAACTTAAAAGTGTTCCAGAGACTGCATCCTGACAATGTAAAATTCGAAGCTGAAGAACATCTCAAGTTTTTAGCATAATTTAAGTGATGTAAAACAAAATCACAGTTACAGTTTTCACTTGGGGGGAAAAAAAAATCACAATAGGAGTAGGAGAAGAAAACAGCAACAGAAACTTTACGGTCCACAGAGTATATGAATCCATAGGACAACACCAAACACTCGAAGTGGTGGTGTGTTGATGATGCTCGCTAGTTACTCGGACAGTTAGCACAGCCCCTTTTAGGAGGAGGAGGTACATCTTGTAATATTGGTAATCCTCTAAATGTTTTGCTTGGAGACAGACATAGGTGGTGCTAGATCTCAATGAGCCCTGCTTTTGCTCTGAACTGATTATAAGTGGGCTGATTCTAGTGTGGATATTGTTTATCTGCTAAAGTACTGTGTCCAAATAAATAGAGTTGGCTGGCATAGACCACAGGCCAATTCTATGTGCAGCACAAAGGTTGCCACAAGGACTTTGAAAACTTTGTATTTTAAGGAATTTTACCTATCAGTCATTTTAGCCTGTCGTTCATCACAGAGGGGCTATGGGAAGGAAAATCAGGGTTATCTTACCTGTTAAATGAACAGCCCTTTATTTGCAAAAGACTTGCAAAGATTAGTGAATGCTTGCAAAGATCTTTTAAAGTAGAATTTGCTGTTGAAATTAGTCACTGTTTATGATATCAGTCTTAGGTGGTACTTAATTTTTACTGGGAAAAGCTAGTAAATGCATTTTTTATGTAATATAACTTTTTATTATTTTTTGTAGGAGTTTGCTCTTCACAAGTTGAATGCTGTTGTCAATGACTTCTGGGCCGAGATCTCTGAGTCAGTAGATAAAATGTAAGAGAAGACACTTATTACCTCAGGGTGTGCTGCTTGAAAAGAACATGAGATATGAAGTGGATGTAGTTCTGGTTTCTTGATACTGCCTAGTACAGCATCTAGCTCCATATTTTCTGGAAAGCACTAATATAAGTGGATGTGGGGTTGGAGCTGTAGTCCGAAAGATGCAAGTTTGATCAAGCTCTAATGTGGCCTTAAAGAGAACTGAACACACAGAGCTGATGCTCTTCTCTCTCTTCTTTGCAGTGAAGTTCTCTATGAAGACGAGGGCTTTCGCAGCCGGCAGTTTGCTGCTCTAGTTGCTTCTAAAGTTTTTTACCACCTGGGAGCTTTTGAGGAATCGCTGAACTATGCCCTGGGAGCAGGTGACCTCTTCAATGTCAATGACAACTCGGAATATGTGGAGACGATCATTGGTAAACAACTGTTGCTGCAAAAGAAAAGCTCTTGTGTTGTCAAAACTACTGTAATTTTGAGATTTTAATTGATTTAGCTGGTTTTCTCCATATTCCTCTTCATCATAGAATAGTTTGGGTTGGAAGGGACCGTTAAAGGTCATCTAGTCCAACCCCCCTGCAATGAGTAGGGACATCTTCAACTAGAGCAGGTTGCTCAGAGCTCCATCCAACCTGACCTTGACTGTTTCCAGGGATGGGGCATCTACCATGTCTCTGGGGAACCTGTTTGTGTTTCACCACCCTCATTGTGAAAAATTTCTTCCTTAGATCTAGTCTAAATCTACACTCTTTTAGTTTAAAACCGTTACCCCTTGTCCTATTGCTATAGGCCATGCTAAAAAGTCTGTCCCCATCTTTAAGTACTGAAAGGCTGCCATAAGGTCTCCCTGGAGCCTTCTCTTCTCCAGGCTGAACAACCCCAACTCTCTCAGCCTTTCCTCATAGCAGAGGTGTTCCACCTCTCTGATCATTTTTGTGGCCCTCCTCTGGATGCTCTTACTCTCCTTGTATTCATTTAAACTGATGATGCAGCTAATTTTACCCAGTTTATTTGTGCTTTTTTCTCTTGCTTTGGGATTCTGTAATGGAACTGACTTAGGAGTTCCGGCATTTTTTTTCCTATTCTTAACCCTTATTCTATTGTGAGTTCCTAATAGGAAAATTGCTTTGGCTGTTTATTGTTCTTTCTCTCATTTGTGTGCTAATGTTGTTATCAATTTCAGCATAACTTTGGAAATAATAATAATAATAATATTTGCAGGTAGAATGTGTATATGCACAGACACATCTGGTCTCTTCATCTATAAAAAAACCTGCAAACATCTAGGAAGTTGACCTCCCCCTCCCCCCATATTTGTTCAATATCTTTTCAGCAAAATGTATTGACCACTATACCAAGCAGTGTGTGGAGAATGCAGAGCTGCCAGAAGGGGAGAAGAAACCTGTTGATGAAAGGCTAGAAGGGATAGTGAACAAAATGTTCCAGCGGTGCTTGGATGACCACAAGTACAAGCAGGCCATTGGCATTGCTCTAGAGACACGCAGGCTGGACATCTTTGAGAAAACCATCCTCGAATCGGTATGTGCAAGAGACAAGAGGTCCGTGTAGCTAGTCTCTTCCAGATGTGGATCCAGAAGTGAAGTGCAGGATCAATGTTGCTATGGAACTGTTTTTGTATGAACAGAATAAAAGACGGAACTGAGGGACGTGAGTTTATGCAAAGGGTGAAAGATGCAGGAGTGTTTAGTTCAACATGTTTATGGAAGGCTATCCCTATCACTCAGGGCTATCAAGTGTAGAGAGATCCTCACCTTTAAGAATTCCCTGAGTGGCAAGTTGCTAGGGGAATATTTCCAGGAAGCCTGGCTATGTGCCCTCTTTAGGTATTCTCTGTCAGCTACTAGCAGATATGATACTGGCCTAGGCTGACCTTAGGTCTGGCATAATGCAAGAACAGCTCTTTTATTTTCTTGTGCCTGTCATCTCCTGTAATTCACTGTGGGAAGGGATCCTTAGGGTTAGGTAAGTGATTTACCTATGGCAGGTAAGACAAAACAAAACAACAATCCAGTAGTTGGGTGAGCTACTCTAATTTTCAGTAAGTGGCTGTGTGCAGTCTTAGCCTGCCCCGACTGCAAGGCAGTACAGTCTGGCTTGAACATCTTTCACTGAAGGTTTAAGGTAAGTCATGTTAGCTAGTAATGGTGGTAAGAGAAGTGTGCCAGTAGTTGTTTGCAGCAGCTCAGGGGTTGTGTGTAATCTTGTTATGCTGCAGTATCTCAATCCTATGTCAGATGCATGGTTTAAATCCTTTCAATTTTACTACTTTACAGTTTGTAGCTTTCCCATATTTTTGGATGTCTGCCATTTCTGTATATGGGAGTAATAATCATAAGGCATCCATCTTGCTTTCTCTGTTCTGTTTGCTGTCCTTGCATTTATTTACTTAATTGCCCATTATAAATCCCTCGTTTTAAATTACCTTTCTGAAGTTTAGTAACTGCATCTGTTTCTCAGTCTCTAGCAATAGATAGGCATGTTGGGGATCTTTTCTTGATGCATTGTTTGTTTTGCTGACATATTATGTTAGTGCAGTGAATTTCACTGCATTTGAGCATGAGTATTTGAACAAGAAAGGTGAAGAAGGGGAACTAGGTATTGAACTTTTAAATGAATCTTTTGTATGTTTTAAATACTGAATTAGATACTGGTCCTGTATGTTTTTGGTAGTATTTTTCTTTAAACTGCAATACACCTGCATATAAGCTTTTCCAAAAGTGGGAAATGAAACTGTGAAGGTTTATACATGCGTGTCTTTTGCTCTGCTTTTTAAAGTGAAAAGGAGGTAGCTCTATAATAATTTCTAAATCCTGTTTGTGATTCCAAACCCACACTTGATATCCCTGAATTTAATTTCAGAACGATGTTCCTGGGATGCTAGCCTACAGCTTGAAGCTCTGTATGTCTTTGATGCAGAATAAACAGTTCCGTAATAAAGTCTTGAGAGTTCTAGTTAAAATCTACATGAATCTGGAGAAACCAGACTTCATCAATGTGTGCCAGGTAAACCTCTGAGTGGTGTTTCAAGATGAATCAAAAGTTACTCTTCTTCAGATGTGTTTGACTTGACATCTAGCTGATCTATTTTTTTTATTCAGTTAAATATCCTGTCATAGTTGCATGCTTCAAATACGTATCAAAGTGAGATCAACTTGAAAAAGAGATGCAAATACTGCACATTTGGTCAATTTATTGAGAAACAAACACGTTGAAAGGCAGTTTGGGGACGTAAATAACTGACAGAATATTTCAAGTCTATGTAGGGAGTATCAGGTGGTAGGGTTCACAGCTTGGAATTTTATTTATTTGTCAGAAGAACATTTACAGTGCTTTGTTTTTTGGTAAGCCGTTGTCTGAAAGTGTTTAGATAATCTGTTATGAAGTTACTCAGATGTTCTCAGGCCTTTGCTGGTCTTGATATGCCATGTTCATGTGACGCAGGAATGTTAGGCCTGTTCTGTTTAAGCTGAGACTGATGCTTCTTTAATGTGCTTTTGAAATTTCTGTGTTTAGTAGGACAACATTGTTAGCTTCCAAAGATAAAGCTGCAGAAATAGGAAGGCTTGAATGTTGTGTCTTGAATTTGTAATACTTTGATCTCATTTTTAAACTGACCTATGAAAACTCTTCAAAGGCTCATATATCCCTTATGAGAGAGAGTTTTTCTTTCTTTGAAGGGGTGTTTTGTGGAAGCAGCAGATGAAGGGATAGGGGAAAAGGGGTGTGACCTTGGGTAGTGTTGGTTTTTCATTCTGAACTATATAATGTCTTCTGATATTATTTTTTTTTTTCTTGTTCTTGCCTTCCTCCTGCTCAGTGCCTGATATTCTTGGATGACCCACAGGCTGTGAGTGACATCTTGGAAAAACTGGTGAAGGAAGATAACCTTCTTATGGCCTACCAAATTTGTTTTGATCTGTACGAAAGTGCTAGCCAGCAGTTCTTGTCTTCTGTGATCCAGAATCTCCGCACAGTTGGCACTCCCATTGCCTCTGTACCTGGATCCACCAACACTGGCACCGTCCCTGGATCAGAGAAGGACAGGTGGGGTTACAGTCCTGCTCTGATGGAGCCTCCTGTTCTCTGTGTGGATGCCCCATTACAAGCAATTGAGTTAGTGCCCTTCATTTAAGTCAGGGTAATAGACAAGACATGCTATTTGCTGAGGGCAAAATTGTATATTGCCAGAATCCACTGTTTGAAAGAATACATTTTCCTTTGCAGTTGAGGTAAGTGTGGTGCAGTTACTGTGGCTTAGCTAATGAGCAGTAATTCATTAAGCTATAGTGTGAATTGCTCGGGAGCACTCTGATGTTGTGTGATCTTTGCTGCAACTGGTAAAGCTAAGAAAGGGGAGCGTTCAAGCAAAAAGCTCATCGCAGCTATGTGCAAATTTGATTTCATATTGTAGCTTGTGGGCTGCTACCTGCTTGTGGGAAGAGTGAGCTCAGATGGTACTGTAGTGTTATAGACCCTTTTGTGCTTGCAGTTGAAAAGAGCTAGTTCAAATCTAGTCTGAGTTTTGTTGAAGTTCTACATTTAAAACTTGTTCAGTGATAACATCACTGGATCTTAGCTACAGGAAGCTTCTGTTAAGAAAACCAAAGTTGGCACTAAGCATTTGATCTTCTTTATTTTTACTTTTGATGGCTTACAGGTAACTGACATTAAAATAGTTTTGCTTTAAACCTCTGTTTTTAGAGGATTGGCTAATCCAGGCTAAGGCTGCTGCCCAGCTCAGGGCCAGTGTGCAAGAAGTTTGTGCTCCCACTGCTGTTTAATTGCCAGAGCTGTCATGTCTGTACACAACCTGATCCCTGCTCTGTCTTTCATAGTGTGTGATGGAGAATGCTGCTTAGATCAAGGCTGGTTAAATATAAGGGCTTATGCAGCTCGGAAAAACTGGGTCGAAATGCTTTTGATCAGTGATACGGGCATTCTCCTCTCTTCTTTTCCAGTGAAATAAAAGGAATGGCACAGAATAATTTGTAAGCCAGGCTGTGAAGCAAGCACAAGGTGCTAACAGCTTAATAGCTTTTGTTTCCATTTGAACACTCTGGCATCAATCCTGATAGTGATGGACTCAAGTCTTCTGGATGAGGATATAATTATCCTTGCTGCTGAGTTGTTGACCTTGTTTTCTCACCTGTCTCTGCCTGTTCATTCCCTACAAGCATCTCTTCTTTCTTTTTTTTTTTTCTTAAATCCCTCTAGATGGATTATGAGGGTAAGGTTTTCTAGGCCTTTGTCTTCAAGCTCCCTGAAAACTGAATTGGGGAGGAGTTTGCTTCTCAGCAGTGACCTCCAGGTAGTCAGCCCTTGTTCTGTCAAAGTCCTGTTTCCAGTCATCATCTCCAACTCCCAGGCTACTCTTTCAGGACAGTGTTAGCCATAATTACAATTACAGTGCTTGGCTAGTTATGAGTGATGAACTGGGCTGCATGTTTCATTTTTATTTTATTTCAGTGAGGCTATGGAAGCCGAAGAGAAACCGGGAAGCACATGTGCAGGGAAGTCTGCAGAAATTGTGAGTGTTATTTCCAAAATATGCCTTACTTAGTTTTTCTTAGTGTGTTCTATTTGAATCTCCAGGGTTGTTAGATTGGTGTGGCTAATGAAGAATGGAGTTCTACTTCTGTCTTGGTTAGAGAGAAGGTGACAGATGCTCTCTGAGGACCAAATATCTGACAGTCTGAAAGTGCAGCAGTTCAGATATTGAAAGCTGGAGGAGAGTGGGAAGTGTGTAGATTTCGTTGGGAATTAATCCAAAATAAGAGGGGGAAAAACAGAAAGATCTGGCTCATGTGTTTGCTTTTTGTTGATATTGGAATAATTAACTAATTCCAGAAAAAAGGGCCTGAAATTTGGCTGCTGCTGAGAACCTTAGCTGATGAATTAGCTTGATTTATTTTTTTTATTCCACCTCCCCCCCACCTTCTGAAATCTGGCTGTAGTCTGGATAGAACTGATGCTGTTCTGCAGGAGGGGATGCTGACACAATGTGGTGGGTTGATGCTGGTTGGATGCCAGGTGCCCACCAAAGCTGCTCTATCATTCCCGGCCTCAGCTGGGCAGGGGAGACAAAATACAATGAAAGACTCATGGGTTGACATAAGGATAGGGAGAACTCATTCACTAATTACCATCATGGGCAAAACAGACTTGTCTTGGGGAAATTTAATGAATTAATTTATTACTAATTGAATCAGAGTAGGATAATGAGAAATAAAACCAAATCTTAAAAACACCTTCCCCCTACCCCTCCCTTCTTCTCAGGCTTAACTTCACTCCTGATATTCTCTACCTCCTCCCCACAAGCAGCGCAGGGGGATGGGGAATGGGGGTTGTGGTCAGTTCATCACATGAAATTCTCCAATGCGAGTCATTCCCATGGGCTATAGTTCTTCACGAACTGCCTCAGTCTGGGTCTTTTCCAGAGGATGCAGTCCTTCAGGAACAGACTGCTTCAATGCGGGTTTCCCACAGGGTCTCACAGCCTCCTTTGGGCATCCCCCTGCTCCAGTGTGGGGTCCTCCACAAGCTGCAGGTGGAGATCTGCTCCACCATGGAGCTCCATGGGCTGCAAGGGCACAGCCTGCCTCACCATAGTCTTCACCATGGGCTGCAGGGGAATATCTGCTCTGGTGCTTGGAGCACCTCCTCACCTTCCTTCTTCGCTGACCTTGGTGTTTGCAGAGCTGTTTCTTTCACATACTCTCACTCCTCTCTTCGGCTGCAGTCATGTGGGGTTTTTTCCGCCCTTCTTAAATACATTATCCCAGAGGTGCGCTTGGCCTTGACCAGTGGCAGGTCTGTTTTGGAGCAGGCTGGCATTGGCTCTGTTGGACATGGAGGAAGCTTCTATCAGCTTCTCACAGAAACCATCCCCGTAGCCCCTCCACTATGAAAACCTTGCCACGCAAACCCAATACACATAACATAGTTTCTCCTCCATGAAGGAGGAAGGTGTTGTGTCTGGCTAATAAGGTGACTATGTTGCTGGGCCAGTGGGTTAGAATCTGTCTGTTTAGTTTCTCTTCCCAAGTACTGGAGAAAGTGAGTTCACTTCTGACATGCACATACAATTGCATTTCAGCATGCAGAACAGCTAATGCAATTCTGATACTTCTAGGGCTGAGGAAAGGAAATGGTACTAAGAGGAAAGTAAAATCTGAGATGAGGAGTTTTTTTATTTTTCCCCATGGTGCATGTTTGTGAGCTAGACTTGGGAATCTTTGAGAGATATTGTTGCAGATCACTTAAAAAGGATGACATTTTAATTAATCAAGGACAAACAGAAGTGTGTTCTTGAAATTATATTCCACAGGAAAAAAAAAACCAACATGGTGGAGTTTCTTGCCACATCAAGGAACCTGTAAACAGTGCTTTTGTGCAGGAAAGGTGTCTTGAATCAATTTCTGCTGCATTGGCATTGCTGATTGTGCCAAGGTGCAAGTACATAAAAATGATCTTTGTGGCAGAAATGTTCTTGAGCTTAATCTTCCACAATTCAGAATGCTGATTACAAAGAAATAATTGAGGGGATTAGTTTAAGGGCTGAACTACTCATGCTTGGCTGGTCTCTGACCAGCTAACCATGCCAGTACAAAGAGCTACAGCGTACCCTGCAAAGAGCTGCACCCTACTCAAAAGGGACTTTAGTTGGGACTTAAACTGTGGAAACTCTTCTGTGGTGGGGAAGAAGGAGGCTTTCTTAAAGAGCTCTGGAAGATGAATGTATTAAGAGATTCCTAGCTCTACTAGCCATTGTTCTAAATCCTTTAGCTCACAAGAATGGTGATACAGGTCAGTGGGGTCATGCAAAGTGTTGTGGTGTTGTGGTCCTCTCCATTAAAACTTCCATGGAACTACAGGTTCACATTTATAAAAGTGATTGCCTCTTGCAGGAGACTCATCGTATCTGTAAGGCCAAGCAGAGCAGCTTGCAGAATATCACATCACTCATGTGACATCGTTCTGCTTTCAAAGAAAGAATAAATTTCTTTTTAAAGACTTTCTCCTCCCACCTGCACTGTGGGGGACTTGTTTATCTGTGAAGTTTGGGCTTGTGCAGCAAGGGCAGAAACAATGTCCTTTTAGTCCCAAAACCTGACAGGTTTTGGAGTATGGTGATGGGAATGTATGAGAGTGACTTCTCATGAACTGTATTTTAACAGAGCTGTAGCTGGGTTCTCATGTTTTTTTCTTATTTCTGCTTGTACATGAAGAACCCAGAGCCTAAGGACCAGATCTCAAAAATGATTAAAATTTTAAGTGGGGAAATGGCCATTGAGTTACATCTGCAGTTTTTAATACGAAACAACAATACAGACCTCATGATCCTCAAAAACACAAAGGTAAGTGGCTTTGTTAGACAGAGTTGTCTTGGATTCATCTGATTAATCCCGTGTTTGTTTTGACCATGTTGCTTGCTGATGTTATTTTATAACATCATAAGTTTTAGCATGGCCTCCCTGGGTTTTGAGGATGCAAATCTATGTTTTTGGCATGGTAAATTAACATTTAAAACTTGAACCTGTGAGGCTGAAGAGCTGATTACAGAAGGCCATGTAATCATATCGTTTCAACTTACAGCTGGTATGACCTATGACAAGCTGCTATTAATGTGTTGATTTTTTTCTTTTGTTTGTTTTTGCCAATTGCTTATAGAAACTAATCCTTCCCCCCCCCCCCCCCCCCCTTTTTTTTTTTTGATGGTTTTGTTTTCCATCTGGTCAATAAGATGAATGCACTCACCTTCCAGCTCCATGACTGATCTAGTGCAAATGCTGCTGGTTGGGGTTGGAGGGAGTCAGCCAGGACTGTAGGTCCCAGTATGTTGGTATTTTAGTTGAGGTGTTATGTGAGACCACACCTTCAGCTTGGCTAAAAATATCCTGATATGTGCTCAGAGACTAGTATTTCCACATTGAAGGCAAAATCAATTGGATATTGTAACGTAGGCAGTGCTAGGGAATTGAGTAACTGGTTTTGTTTTGGAAAGTGTTACTCAAGGGTGGGCAAATAAATCTTAAAAGCTAAGTTAGACTCTCTTAAGCTAATTGATTATTAGAAACCAGAAATTTTTTATATGTGAAATGAGATGCACATCATCAGCAAAAATGGTAGAGAATCCTTGTCAGTGGGTTCATTATTTCAGGAGGCACTTCAAATGTATTGGAAAATCTTTTCCATCTGCTGGTTAAGTGCTTGGGAGTGATCCTGTATAGCATTCTAGGGATGGCTTGAAAACATCAGCAGCACACGCTTTATAGTTCTGGGAATCAGAAGCGGGGGTTCTGCAGTTAAGCTGCAATTGAAGTAATCACATCTCTGACAGAAACTCATAGAAGGGATTAGTTTGCACTGGGAAGATGGGTTGAGGATATGTTAGAATGTATTAACAATCTATTAACTTTGATTAAAGGGAAATTGCTGGTTAAATTGAGCCTAATTACAACCATTTTTCTAGTGTACTGACAGGCATGTTAAGTGACCTAGGTCATGTCTTTTGCTGGCTGGTGATACTGATTGTTTTTGTTCTTTCAGGATGCAGTGCGGAATTCCGTGTGTCATACAGCAACAGTTATAGCAAACTCCTTTATGCACTGTGGTACAACCAGTGACCAGTTCCTTAGGTAAATCTATGGCAAGGAAGTTCCAATGTCATTTAGAGGTGTTTGAACAACATTGCTGCCGTACTTAGCTTGATGCTTTCAAAAGGGTGGCTGCAGAGCCCTGGTGGGCTTGGAGAAGAATAAACAAAGGATCTGAAAACAAATGTGGAGATAGAAGGAAGAACCATCAGTTGTTTCCTTTTCTCTAGCCTCACAAACTGCATGTATTTGAGTGCTAACTGTTAGCAGTTTGGAGGGTGGAGATTGGGAATTTCTGTTCTCCTTGTTTACTAGTTGGAGGATTTCTGAGATGGTGATGTATCTTTTTTGGTAGAGACTGACAGTGCTGAATGACTCTCAGAAGGGAAGTTGACCTTATTAGGGTCTTGAGGGAAGCTCCAGAAACCCTGCTGAAGTTTCTCCCACAGAGTTGATGGGCTACCTATTGAGTACTTGTTCTCCATTTTTCACTGATATGACAGTATCTAGGATCTTGACTGCTACCAGCCAAAAATCAGGGCTGATGAAGGGGGGCGGGGTACAGAGTGCAAATGCGGTTAGCCGCCTTGCCTTCTGGAGCTACTTTCTGCTTTGAAAGCTGGTTTTAGTGCTGTGAAACCTTACTTGCAGTGCAAGGAATGGGCTATATGAAAAACTTTGTATAACCTTTCTCTTCTTGTTTTCCAGAGACAATTTGGAGTGGCTGGCCAGGGCCACTAACTGGGCTAAGTTTACTGCTACCGCCAGCTTGGGTGTTATACACAAGGTAACATTGTGTTCATTCCTCTCTGTTCAGTATAAATGTTTGGCTTGTGAACACTGAAGACATTGAAGTGGGGATTCTGAATGATGCCTGTGCTTCAGTTTACCTGGTCTATTGCAAGGCACAGCTGTAGCATTGTGTCTTTGCACTAAAGAAAAGCTGTGGTTTATCAAGTCCATCTTGTCTGATACCCAATCTAGTTTACGGCATGTTTTGCTGATCATCAAAAAGGTGGTAGGATAACATAGCTCAAGGAGAGTCCTCTTCCTAGTCTCCTCTTCCTTTGTGAGTTGAACAATGTTGATGGTTTCTAGCTATTAATAGTGCAGGTGCATATTTCTTAAGTGTATTTCCTGGCTTTGAGACGGTACCAAAGTCCTTGCTGTAATAAGTTTCAGTAAGTTTTAATGCTGACCTAGGCAGTGGTCATTTTCTTCAAATTCATTCACAGGGAAGGTAGTACAGTAGTAGTACAGAAATAGCAAGAAGTTTTTGTAATTGTTTTGTGTGCCTCAACCCATGTTGAAGTGCTCTAGTGAATGAATCTGTGTAGCTTCAGGCCAAATTTGTCCCGGTTTACATCAGTGACCAAGTGATTGACGAATACTTGTGTACTGGGGTTAATAAAACCCCAGTACAGAAGGATTCTTTGCTGAT